GGAACAATACATGTTTGAGGAAAGTGTGGCTATCTCTTGGGAAAATTGGTCAATTAGATCTCCTTTATTTCTTCCTCACTTGCTGTCTGCACAACGATATGTACATTTAACGAAGCTTATGTAAGATAATTAAATTATTGGATAATTACCACGTCCACGAGACTTGTCTATGGGTATCTGCACTCTCTTTGCATATGACAGATAGCTGAGGTGGCACTGCGCCGAAATTGACTTTGATCAGAACTGAAAATATCTGAACAGTCATTATCCTGATTATCATCATCATAAAATAGCGATATCAATTCATGCTCCTAGGTTTACTAGGGTGATTCAGGATATGTGGTTCTTCAGGGGATTTCAATTTTAAAGCCACTTTGGCCATCAATGAATATGCAACATTTACATAAAAATCACTTATATGTTCAAGCTAAAAGAAGTCAATGACATCTAGTTAATTTGCAACACATGGTATACAGGGTATCAATTTGCCATGTCTTTGCATGAAAATGACACGCGTAACTTTTCTTTGATCCAATAATGGTTTAAGTCTTATACCAGAACCTCCTCTGCAATATTTGTTTGACAATGGCTAGACAAAAGCAGGTAGACCACTGCAAAATTCCATTATTTTACACTGTTAGAAACTATCAAACCGAGAGAATGCTTAGAGACAGTGACATGTTGGAATTAGATCCGCTGTCATTCATGATTCAATGTAAACTGTGTTTGTATTTCTTGGCTGAATCACAAGTTTGAGAAAATCATTTTGTTTTCTTGTGACTCTTCTTGAAATTCAAGCTAATGAGTGGGTTTATTAACTTTAAACCACCTTTCTAAATGTTGTCTTAGTGTAATTGTCAGTTTGCATTCAATCAATAAGCTCTTGTTTATTTCTATGAAGTTCAGTATACTAAAAATAATATCTGTTACCACAATAGACAGGACAAAATTACAATATTATAGGACAGTAATAAAAATAATAATATTATGAGACAATAAATCCCCCCAAAAAATCATTCATCTTCAAATGTGTTGCAAGTCAGCAAGTTACTAAAAACAAATAAAAATGGACATGTATATAATAAGAATAAAGTGGTCTCTCTTTAATGTTTTCATTGTTAATATCTCCTTTCTGTATTTAATGCAGTTCATGCCTCAGTAGGTTTAAATAAGAGATGTCACTCTTTATTGGAACTAAAACCTCAGTCGCAGTGCATAGAGTGAAGACCCTCTTCTAACAATACATTTTTCTACATTGAGTGCCGTGCAGAGATGCGCAATGGAAACGGGGGGAGCTTTTTCTGAGCATTGCTCAGCCATGCACAAAGCGTGCTTAATTTGATAGTCGCTCCAGAGGAAGAGGCCAGAAGCTCTTTAGTAGAAAGCCTGACCCACTTTCCCAATCAGATGTCATGAGCAGTGCTGCTCTTACAATGCTGTGCACAGGCCAAAATCTCTGACGGTGCTTCTGAAATTAGATGGGGTGCTCTAATAGTTAAACTGTGGACATAATGTGTAGGCCACAGTACCTCAGGTAATGTGTATTGTACCACCGGTATACTGTAAGTACAAAAGTAGCTAGAATAGACTACATGGTTGATATTTACTCTGTATTCAGTGATATAATGGCATTACTTAAACAACTGTGCAATAGTATTAAAAAATATATATCATACAAGGCATGACCTTGCTGTGTCAGCATAACAAAGGATGTAGAACCATGCAAAAATTACAAAAGAATGGGTAAATCAAGCCAGATCTTTCCATATGACTTTTAGTTTGAGTGCCAGGAAAATCAAAGTAGATGGCCAAGAATATATAGAAAAAAAACGTATACTTTGTATAGTATGTTAGTTCTAATAATGGTTTCCTGACTTATTGTAAATGTAAAAATAAAAAAAATAAAAAAATAAATAAAAAACAAGATGTTAATTCATTTGTAATATCAAAATGTACTAAATGCATTTTACACTGCCTTTATTAAAAAATAAATAAATCATTTTAATGATCATTTAAATCTAAAATATATCATATTCATTTTTATAAATGAATCCGTTTTCTCTGCACATATGGTAAACATGGCAAGTGATGCATTATAGTAGCTTTCTGCAATCACTGACGTAGAGTCAGCTTTTGCATTTCACTAATCTTTAAGGTTTGGATTTGACTTTATGAAATTTATCCTAGACCAGCAGTTACAGACAACTTTATACTGGAGTAGCAATTGGAAGCAATAGGCAATGAAAATTTTCCGCCATGAATTCTCTATGTGCAAGCTGAGGTCATAAATCAAATGGTATAGGCATGAAAGCAGAATATTCCTGATTCAAAACAGCAAATTGGAGCAAATTGTATTGGTGCAGGGTTTTTTTGTGTGTGTGCATTGGCTGTGATTCAGCAGTGAAATCTGCTAATAAATAACTTGCTAATAAAATAAATAAAAGAAAACAAGAAACCTGTATTCAGCATTGTTTGCACATTTATTAATCCATGAACTTTTGTATCAGTGTGTGTGTGTGTGTGTGTGTAGAAGCGATGAAAAGATGAGTTTGAAAAAGAGAATGAGTTTGCTAATTTGAAGCAAACATGTCTCAAACAGTGCCATATGTGGCCATTTTGTTTTCTACACAACCGCATCACATCAGACAGAAGTGAAACACTAATTAGACATAACGATGCAAAAACAAAGCTCCTGTCCACACTATCTTAGTAGGGCCTTTCCTCTGAGGCATTATGGGAGCAAAAGTATTTCAGAATCAGACCTGATTCATCTGTGATCCCCTTGGCACAAAATAATGCCATCTGTTTCAGCCTGATTGGCCGTTATGACAGTGTGTTGTGTATAATCCTCCCTCATGATTAATGGCTCATCCCACTGTTAACATTTTTCTCTTCTTCAAAAATGTATCTCCTGTTCCACAAGCTATTTAGCTTTTAAGAATTGAATACATCAAGATGTGAGATGTTTCTACTATGACATATCTTTCAACCTCTTCTTTTATATAACCGAGGAGGTTTATTTATTTGCCTCCAGCTTCTAGTCTTCTAGGCCTGGCACTGATCGTAGATTTCTGTAGATTATTTTTGCTGTTAAAACTAGACACAACCCCTGGATGTTGTTAATCTGGATTAAAGTCTTTATGTAATCTGGCGTCCTGTGGGAGATTGGAGGACATCTGGCTGTAGATCTCATCCATCTCTATCTGTCCCCTGCTACCTCTGCCTGCTGGTCTGAGATGGGCAGAGCAACATTCTAAACATTTTGATTGTTTGATTGATTTTATTGTACAATTTATTCAGAGAAATTAATGCTTTCTGAAATTATATTCTTTCTTATTTGTAATAAAACAGCATTTTATTTTATATACAGATTACTTGTTTATTTTAGCCAGTCATCTGAGCTGTGAAATGAGAGATGGTCCTCACTGCAGAACACAAGATCCAGGGGGCATGGTTGGATCCAGATCCAACTCCTCCCACCTTACATATACCTAAACCTACCCGTCTCCACCCCCTGATACCTAAACCCACCCATCTCCACCCCTAAACCTACCAATCTCCACCCCCTAGATGTGGATCCAACCACGCCCCCTGGATCTTGTGTTCTGCAGTGAGGGGCTATGTGAAATGATGCAGCCATGGGAAAATTATCTCTTGACATGCTGATAAACTCTGACTGGCTGATGACATGACTATAATGCACACAATCCATTAATTAACGACTGATCTGTGTCAAAGGCTGCAGACAGGGATAATAATAATAATAATACATAATTATTTTATGCTTTTTTTCACCTTGCAAGATACATGGTCACTGGCAAAGCATCTGCTATAATCTAATTAAATAAATTTACTTCGAACTGATTTAGTAAACTATTTAGCTTTTTCAAGGTATTATAATCTCTGATGTTAAACAACCAAAACTTGACCTTAGCAATATGTATTAGAGTTGATATGACTCAGATGTCACTCTAGTTTTTCCATAAAACTTTTGTTTCTCTGATTATGACAGTGTGAAAGTCACATTTACTAAATGGAACAAGTGCATTTCACTCAAAAATGACTGAAAATTCATTTCACTGAATAGAAAAGGTTATGTGAACTCAGTAACTGATTATATAAATGAGAAAATAAACCGAATTAGTTACAGCAGATTCCTAGTTCCCAGCTTTGCTTTAGACCCAGTAAGAATAGTAAATGTAAAAATTAAGTGTTAGCTTATGTGTTTTTGCAAAATATGAATATATGTGATGTCTGTTAGTGTTTAATGTTCTGTCATGTTTAGACTTAATCAGAGTTTTGGAGGTTACCATTGTGCTGAAGAGCAGAGACTGGTTGATGATGAGCCAATGAATAGTGAGCTAATATTTATGCTGATTTATTTAAAGACCAGTAACTACACTTGCTCATAGTGCAGTCTCTTTGTTCGTTATGTTAGCACATCATATGCGCTATTGCTAGTTAGCAGTTAACTGCAAGACGTTTGAGTTAATTTAATATTAATGGTTTTGTTAAATGTGAGCCAAAATCATCACAATTAAAAGAACCAAAGACTTAAACCACTTCAGTCTGTGTGCATTGAATTTATTTAATACACAAGTTTCACAATTTGAGTTGAATTACTGAAATAAATGAACTTTTCCATGACATTCTAATTTATTGAGATGCACCTGTACTCGCTACAATGAAATCTCAGAAACACAAAGTATTTGAATAAAGTGTTTAGTTTAATTGTATATTAAGAAAAAAATATTTTTCAGTGAGCTCAAATGAAATAAGTTCACTGTACTCATTACTATTGGTTTTTAAAACTTAGACGGATTAAGGTAATCAGTTTCTTGAAACTGAAATGAGTTATCCTAAATTGTTGGGTTTTCCAGTGTAATAATACATTTGAATCTGCTTTTGTAAAATGAAAATATTAAAATAAGCATGTAAGGTTTTTTGTTGCTTCTTTCAAATTTTTAGGTGACTGTGTGGTGACCACTGGCCCCTATTCCTGCTCCTGTGAGTTAATCACCCAGTCCTAAATCCTCACCATGGAGTCCATCAAAGTGCAACCTGAAGGAGGACTCAATGTCACTCTGACTATCAGACTCCTCATGCATGGCAAGGTAAAAGAACAGCATGCATCTAATCTAAAATTTTCACATACACAATTTACTGCACCATGGTAATAATTCCACCAGTGATAAAGAACAGATTGTGGACATATTACTATGTAAGAGGACAAAAATGTCTCTCCTTAAAAGGAAATAGATAGAAGTTTGTTATTAAAATAAACACATTATCTATTTTATCTTGCAGGAGGTTGGCAGCATTATAGGCAAGGTAAAAAGACACATTCAGCCAACAAGACAATACTTGCAAATACTTGAGTTTGTAACAGTCTTTTTTTTTTTTGGTACTGTATGGATTTTAACATGTATTTATTAGAAATGTAAATTGTACAATCATTAATATCTGTGTTTTATCAAAAATGCAATTATTCTTTTCAGAAAGGGGAAACTGTGAAGAAGATGCGTGAGGATGTAAGTAACGTTACAATTCATTTTAGTAGCTGTAATAAGTGTAACATGGTTATTAACAAACAACACAAACTGTTTCTACAGAGTAATGCACGCATAAATATTTCAGAGGGGAATTGCCCAGAGAGAATAGTTACCATCACAGGACCCACAGATGCCATATTCAAGGCCTTCGCCATGATCACATACAAGTTTGAAGAAGTATTAGACCTTTTTCTAATGAAAATGTTATTAAAACCCCAAAAGAAATCAATAAAAACTGTAATAGAAATTGATGTTTTGGTTCTACGCAGGATATTGTTAACTCTATGAGCAATAGCCAGGCTACTAGTAAGCCTCCAGTGACTTTGCGTTTGGTGGTGCCGGCCAGTCAATGTGGCTCTCTAATTGGGAAAGGAGGCTCCAAGATCAAGGAGATGAGGGAGGTACGTTCAAACTTATTATTTCTTTATGATCTACATATTTCATAAAGTGCAGCAATATTTATTTTAATGCACAGAATGCCATTGTTACTCCAAGACAACAGCGAAACTAAACATTTTTACTTGGATTATACAGGAAGCATGGTAGTGCTGTGTTCCAAGGGTTTCTATCCTGTCTGATTGTACTGTGCATGTTCTCCAGTCTACAGGGGCTCAAGTGCAAGTGGCTGGAGACATGTTGCCCAATTCTACTGAGCGGGCAGTCACTATCTCAGGTGCTCCAGAGGCCATTATTCAGTGTGTGAAGCAGATCTGTGTGGTCATGTTGGAGGTAAGTAATAAGACAAATTACAGTGGTTTTGAGGTTAAAGAAATAGTTCACTCAACTCTCACTCTCATGTTGTTCCAAAGTTGAATGGTTTTCTGACTTCTGTGGAACACAAAAGAAGATATTTTGAAGAATGTTCCAGCTGTTTTTGTCCATATAATGAAAATCAAAACTCTCAAGCTACAAAAAGGCAGTGTGATGAACAGATAGAAATCTAACACTTTATCCACTTTCAGATCAATTCCAAACATTGATCAGCACATGCATACACAGATGATGTAATCAAATATTGCGACACAAACCTCAAACATCAACTAAGGTCAACCCTCATTGGTTCTTGCACGTCACATGACCAAATGTTGTGAAGTGCAAAAACCACAGGTATGGGTTAATTTTGAACATTCTTAAAAAGATCTCATTTTGTGGAAATAACATAAACAGAACAACGTTGTGTGACAGATTTAAAACAGATGTTTAGATTTGAATATCAGCATATATTCTTATGTCAAAGAGGGAGCTGATTTTTTATCATGGTCTCATTTTGGTAAGCATCTATTACATTCTGTTCTATTATAGTTTGCCCTCACTTTTCTTTTTTCCTAATTTCCATCTTTTCCATCTTTATTTGACCTCCACTGACTTTTGCCAGTCCCCACCCAAAGGTGCCACAATTCCATATAGACCGAAGCCTGCCACTGCACAAGTCATTTTCTCTGGGGGCCAGCTAAGAGCAGATACTCTGACAGCACCAGCCACAGCCAACCTCAGCTTGTTACTGCAGCATCAGCCTCTGCCTGTAAGTATGGTTAAGCTATACACTATTACTACTACAGGCATACAGTATATACAAACATAGTATTAGTATATTAAAAATAAACTAGAGGGATGTGAGCCACTTGCCAAGATAAATTCTCATCTTTTTGCTTAGAAAAAACTTTATGAAGTTATGATACTTATGATATGTAATTCTAAGTCCTAAACAAGTATACCTATTCCTATGGGGTGATAAATGTAAAATGTAATGACAGTCTTTTTGGATAATTGAATTACTTGAAGAAATTCTAACAAGATACAGTTATATTTTAATAGAATTCGTACAAAAAGACAAAAGCCAGTTGGATTTCATCCACAGAAAATGTAAAGCCAGCACATGATTTCATGTACAGAAAGAAAAAAGCCAGCTGGATTTCATTAACAGAAATGTAACAGCACTTCATTTCATTCACAAAATCAAATGTTAATTTACTTAATTGATTAATTTCATGGATAAAAGTAAATGCATTTGGTCCACAAAAGGAAATGCATATTGTGACATGATGAATCATGAAATGGAATGTGCAAATAACATTTTGTGGACAAATAATGCAGACAATCCTTTTCATAGTCGAAATACAGTATCTCATTCAAAGACTGAGCATTTTGTGGACTACAAATTATGCATTTGATAATCTCCATGAAAGCTGTTTTCTCTTACCCACAAAATTAAAAGTACATTCACCCTTCTGTGCACAAAATGGAAGGAACTTAGAATTTTGTGCAAAAAAATACTATATTTTGATTAATGAAACACAAAGACTTGTGTGTACAAAAATGTATTTAATTGTAACTTAAATGTAACATTTTGTGTCACATAGTTAATTCAGGCCATGAAATTAATTAGTTTTCACTCGACGGCCATGTGTTCCACATGTAAAATTTGATTATATTAAATACGTCTATGTGTACAGTACATTGATGTTGAATTCTGTACATGTACATTGAAGATTCTTTTTCCTTTCTTAGGCCTACACCATTCAGGGACAATATGCCATCCCACACCCAGACGTGAGTACAACTTCTAATTCTTCGTACCTCTTTAGTGTAGTGTTCTTGTTAACCTTTGTTAACCTTTTTTTATGACCTGCTTTACTAAAATTCATACAACTGATATGTTTGTGTTTTTTATAGAAGGCAGAGTCATAAATGAGATTTCTCACAGCTTCCCCTTGTTAGTGTCTAGATGAGTTTGTGAAGGTCCAAGCAGAACTCCTTTATTTAATCATAACTTCTTAGGTGTACTGACCCTCCTCCCTCCCCCAGCAGTTGACAAAGCTCCATCAGCTGGCTATGCAGCAAACCCCCTTTACCTCCCTCGGACAGACTACCCCAGCTTTCCCTGGTACGTACACAACCCCCCCCGCTACACACCCTTCACTATATACCTGTAGGTCTTTCATTCACTTTTGTCTTTCACTCTTCTCCCCCAGGATGGGTTTTTGTGAAGGTCCAAGCAGAACTCCTTTATTTAATCATAACTTCTTAGGTGTACTGACCCTCCTCCCTCCCCCAGCAGTTGACAAAGCTCCATCAGCTGGCTATGCAGCAAACCCCCTTTACCTCCCTCGGACAGACCACCCCAGCTTTCCCTGGTACGTACCCAACCCCCCCGCTACACACCCTTCACTATATACCTGTAGGTCTTTCATTCACTTTTGTCTTTCACTCTTCTCCCCCAGGATGGGTTGCATATTAGTACCTTAAAGGTATATATTAGTACCTAAAGTATACATATTAGTGCCTAAGTGGTACCTTTTGAAAGGATACCACCCAACAGCAGTGTATATAGTGGCAATTAACCTCTCCCTAATGCAAACATTTATTAGATGGATGGAAATATGCTACACATGTAGCATAAGATCAAAACAAAACAAAACAGCTGGTTGCACAACTGTGGTTGCCAGAATCAGCATATTAAGTTTTACATTTTAAACTTAAATTTACAGTAAAAAAAAAAAAAAAGTCACATAAACCGTAATGTACCTAACTGATAAGAAAAAACTAAGAATAATTTTTATTTCAATGGAAAAACCCTCAAATGTGAAGTGTCACACAGAGAATTCTGGGAATGTCAATTTATGTATTTGTCACTGTAAATTACAAGAGGACTTGTTCTTTTTCACTTCCAAAAACTGTAAATTTAACAGTGTTTTACTTATTAACAGTATTTAAAATTTCATGATATGTCCCATTACATTTATTACAGTTTTTCACCATATATAGTAAGGGAACTTACCATGAACTAATTAACAGGTTTTTACTGTAGCATTTTTAGTCTTTTATCATTAAAATTACAACAATTTTTACAGTGTACAGTTTTAACATGGTTAATATTGTGGGGGGAAAAATGCTCTCTATGTTTCTCAGTTCTCCCGCTCTCTTTCTGTTTCTAGGTGTGGATGCCAGTTCACAGGCCAGTACTCATGAACTCACCATTCCAAATGATGTGAGCATAATTCTTTGTCTTCAGTAACCCCCTCATTGGGCAATTGGGACCCACTTTATATTAAGTGGCCTTAACAACTATGTACTTACCTTTAAATTAATAATTTGGTACAATGCACTTATTGTGTACATACATGTTTTTACATTGTACTTATATTTTAAAAATACCTGCTGCATGTAATTACATCTGTAATAAATTTCTGTAATTACATTTATAATTACACTGTTGACCCATCCCTTACACCTTAACCTCCCTTAAACCTACCCATACCAACAAACCTGTCCCTAACCTTACCCGTATCCCACCTCAATAGCAGCAAAAGTGTTTTGCAATACAATATGAACACAATAAGTACATTGTACTTAATTTTTGATGTAAGTACATAGTAGTTAAGGCCACTTAATATAAAGTGGGGCCGGCAATTGTATTAAAGAAGAATTTAAGGAAGAGTTGTTGATTTTCCAAACTGACTTTAATCTGTCTGCTTTATTATTCTAGCTAATAGGCTGCATAATCGGACGTCAGGGCACAAAAATTAATGAAATCCGTCAAATGTCTGGGGCTCAGATCAAAATTGCTAATGCCATGGAGGGGTCATCAGACCGTCAGATCACCATTACTGGAACACCTGCCAACATCAGCCTGGCACAGTACCTCATAAATGCCAGGTGAGATTCAAAGCAAGCAATGACATGTAACTGGTAAAAACAGATGTTTTTTTTAATACTAAACTAATAATTTTACTGGGTTTTAGGGGTAAAAAAAATTATTAAATATTCACCAAAAAGCTAATTTTTTAACAGAAGAGTCTTATGTTCACCAATGCTGAATTTATGTAATGGGGGAAAAAAGTCAAAACAGTAATATTGTAAAATATCATCACAATTTAAAATGACTGATTTACATTTTAATACAGTATAATTAAAATTCACATTTTTTTTCTCTGAAATAGCAACGCTCTATTTGTAATGACTATTACTCCAGTCTTCAGTGTTCCCTAATAAATCATCTAATATGTGATTTAGTATTCAAGAAAAAAACGTTCTTATTATTATTATAATTAGTCGAAAATGGTGCATTAATGAAGTTTGGAAGTTTTTTTTTTTCCAGGATTGAAAGAAGTTGCAGTAGAGTTAAAGAACAACAAAATTAATTTGAAATATAACTGTCTTTATAATGCATTCTTGCTGAAAAAAAGTATCCATTTCTTTAAAAGTAAAAAAAATATTTGAATGGTAGCGTATATTATTAACTTTTGCTTACACCACATTACATTTTTATTTTTAAATACATTTTTAAATATGTCTTGAAAATGGTTTACATATACCTAAAACAACTGAAACAGCATAAATATAAAGATTCCATTTCTAACTTGATTCATGCAATGTTCAAAAGTTTTTTGGGGGTTTTTTATGTTTCCTTGTCGTGAACAGTTTTATTGGTCATTGATCCTTATGCTGTACATGCTTACATTTTTTGCCATTATACTCTCTGCAGGTTCAGAGATGTGGCAGCCATGTGGACTGACCCTTCAACCATGACAACCTCCTGAAATCATATTATGCTCTGTTTATCTAAGACGTTCTGGTCTTTAACTGTTTTTGGGCCTCATCGGTGTTCTTAAAACCTGGGAATTGATATAGTCAGACATTTGTGTCTCAGGATTGTTGAACTACAATTAGTGTAATTAAGCCAGTTCAATTTACTCATTCCATAAAATAACAAAAAAACAGGAGCCTCTGCAAACTGTATTTATTGTCTACATTGAATAGTCTCTTCAGTAAAAAGTATTCTAATAAGCAGCCTATATTTTGGCAATTTTGGAATTTATTAATTAGATATAGTTTTGAGTTTTAGCAAAGAAACTTAGCAGATGATCTAATCATGTGTGATTTAATGATTTTTCAGCCTTTCAAAAAAAGACCTGATTGTTTCACTTTTGACATTTTACTTGGCTAAACATTATTGATGTTGACTGTGCTTCAAGTAATTGTAATAGTTTATGAAGCAATGTACTTTGTTTACATCTTTGTTTAATGCTGTGTTGTGCACTGCAATAATGTGAATAATTGAAAGTGTCAGACATAAGTAGTCTAGACAAAAGTAAGATTAACTATCATCAGTGGGCCACAGAAGAATTGACACTTTTTGGCAATGCATCTGTGATTATACAGTAAGGAAGCAAGTAATAGAAGTTGATTTGAATGTAATGATGTGACTTTTTAACAGGTCATTTGCTGTTTAGCTTGTCAAATGCACACCCAGTCCCAGATGGATGAAACAACAGTCTACAGTACTATACATTTGCTCAAGCTCTTTAGGTTTTCTTTTCAAACTTGTCTCAATAGCTTGTGATTACATTGTTAGTTGGATTCACAAGTTGTATATCTACTGTATATGCTCTGTGTTAAAAGTTCTGTGTTCAGAATGTTTATTATTTATATCAAAGAAATGGGCTTTGATGAGTTAAAATGTAATGTAGAATTATTTCATGTATGCATTTTGGTGTTGACTTCTATTTAAGATTTTATGTGATGATTTATGCAAGAGTTCTTAATACAAATCCAGTGAGTTCATATAAGTGAATATGTATCTTTTTCTGTAATTTCTAGTGGTTAATAGACCATTAATTGTGCTCTGTTGACACAGTGACTTTTGTATATTCATACCCATATAACAGGGTCTGAATTTACAAGCATGGCTATTCTGAATGTCTTAACACTCTTGGCAGTCTTTCTATACAGTATACAGTATATCTCATATAATCAGTTATGACACAAAAATGGTTGACACTGGACTTTTATTAAACTAATGTGCTTGTTTTATTTATTTATTTTTTCTTGTTTTAATCCATGCGGACTATAGTATTTCCCACAAAGAAACTTTGGTTTCTGTGATTGCTGCTGAATGACTCATGGTTTGACTTGCAACTTGCAGAATGCTTTCATATGCATATTCATATTAATTTTTTTTCTAATAAAGTCTCTTGATCTCACATGGGTTCTGTGTTTTTT